GGAAGGAAGGAAGGAAGGAAGGAAGGAAGGAAGGAAGGAAGGAAGGAAAGAAAAGAAAAGTTTTTTTAGAATTGTGTTATATTATTATTATCCCCATTTCACAGATGGGAAAATACATCCTTCCCCAGTCCAGACAGGTAGTCAGAAGACTAGAACCAGCCCTCCTGGTTCTAGCTCAGTGCTCTCCCCGCTGGGGGTCAGGCCCAGCTGGTCAGTGGAGGCTTCCTGGAGGAGGTGTGGCCATGGCTGTTAGAGGTGAGAATGATGTCCAAAACATAATTTGGGCTTCCACCTTGACAAAGTCCCTTTCTTCATGGCCTGCTTTCTCTGTCTTCAGCTGATTGAATTCAAAGGACTCGGAGTCATCCCCATCCTGGTCACTGGCCCTAGACCCTGGCCCTCACCTGAGGCTCCAGGAAGAGGGAGGGGCTGGGGTGCTGAGCCCTCCACCCAGAACTGAGTCATGGTTTCTGTCCTCTTTCCCAAACCAGTCAGATACAGGCTAAATTGGCTGAAACTCAATTCCCTCAGTGATCAACTCACCAAATGGCCATTCATGGAATTTGTGAGAATTTTTTCTTTTGGAAACTGAGCTTTGCCAAAGCTGCATCCATGAAGCTGTTTTACTAGTGAATTGGATGTCATTTTCTCTCGGTGCAGGTTTTCCAGTTCCCAGCACGGTTAGTGTTTTAGATGTGAGTGAGTAGTTTTTCCCATAAATACAAATTGCCATTGTCTCTGTGTTTGTAAATTTGTGCCCTAGCTCTTTCCCTAACTTTGGGACAACCAGTTCAACTCTTGCTATATGGTACTTACCTGATAGCTTGTTGGTCATTCTGCAAATCAATCCTCTAGGGAATTTGCTTCGGGTGAGCTGATTTCAATGCTTGACCTAGAACCTTCCAGCTGGCCCAAGCTGCAGGGCCAGAGTGCTCAGCTCCCCAGCCCTCATTCCCACCCTCCATTCCAGGCGCCATCGGCTTGTCCTGGACCTTCCTGCTCTACGGACTGACTGCTGTCCTTGGCGTGGGCTTCATCTATTTATTTGTTCCCGAAACAAAAGGCCAGTCGTTGGCGGAGATAGACCAGCAGTTCCAGAAAAGACGGTACGAAGTGGACAGGATGGGTCTGAGAGGAAGAGCAACAGCAAAGCCCAGCACGTCACTCAGGAGCGCAGTCCCCATACTGTCTCCTTGTGAGACAGTGCTCTTCCTCTCTTCCTATCTCTCCTGCTGCCTAGACACTGTGAATGTCAGATCTTTACACACGAGCTGTTTTCCTTGAATTGTTTTGTGTCTTTCTACAGCAGCTTTTCATTTGACTTTAAGGCCCAGTTCACAGGAATATCAAAACCACGCAGATAGGGAATCACAGGAGGTTATGACGGTGGAATGTTAAAACCACAGAATCTTAGAGTCATGGAACCTTTACATTATAACTGTGGCCCTTCAACATTGCATATAAATAACTATGGGCTTAATCCATTCACTCAGGGAGTATTAATTTCCTGCTATGTGCCAGGCAGTGTTCTAGGCCTTAGGAATTGTGGCCGAGATTAAGATGGACAGGTTCTTGTCCTCATGGAGCTTCCATGTGAGTGAGGGAGGAGGACAGAAAATAAACAAGCTAGCGAATGCATAAATAAGAGCATTTTGGTTGGTGATGTGTAATTAGAAGAAAATGAAATGCATGAAATATGTCAAGAGGGCTAGGTTGGCAGAGAGGGGCCAGGGGGGGCAAGAGGTTGTGGCTGAATTAGAGTGGATGGTCAGAGAGGGAAGGCCCTCTGAGGAGGTGCAGTTTAAGTTAGCGAGAAGAAGGAGGCAGCTGGGCAATGATGAGGGAGGGGGGTGTCCCAGGTAGAGGGAACAGCAATGGAAAGGCCCTAAGCTGGAGCATACCTGGCAAATGCGAGAAACGAGGAAGCCAGTGTGGCTGGAACAGATGGAGGGAGGGAGGAGGAGTGGATCATCAGATCAGTCAGATCGGCAGGAGCTACATCACGTAAGTCTTCGGGTCACAGAGGGGAGTTCACAATCTTAGCATCATGGGAACTTAGGCTGTTTGAATAAGAGAAGAGTAGAATGGGAGCATTGGAAGGGACCTCAAAGTGCTACAGTCCTAAACATCTTTGGCAAATGTCCCCAGTTACCTTTCACAGCAAAGGGGTAGTCCCCAGCTCCTGACTGCCCATTCTGTTTCTGGGAGGCCCTAAAAGACTTTTTCAAAATCATTCTGGTATTGAGTTGGAACTGGCCTCCCTGCAGCTGCCTGCCAAGCCACGCCTCCATCGGGCCCCTGCAGCAATGCAGGATGAGCCTGATGTAACCTGGTCCACCCCACTCCCCTCTCTACCAGCTAAACACTCCCAGTTCGAGGGATGGCACCTTCTGCAGGTTTCTCAGCAGCCCTCAGCTGCTCAAAACAGTCTCAACATAGGGGGTCCAAAGCTGGGGTGGCTGCTGTGCTCCATGAGGTCATCCAGGAGCCAGGGTCCCAGGCTTCTTCTGTCTTGCTGCTCTGCCATCTCCACAATATTGCCTTTTCCACATGGCCCAAGTCAGCTTACCAACACATTCCCACAAGAGGAAGGGGAGAACACAAGCCTCAAGGTCACTTCCACCCACATCCCTTTGGACAGAACCTGGCTCCACTCCCTCACAGGGGAGGCTGGGAAATGTGCTCTTCAATCATGTCTTCAGCAGCCATGCACTCAGCTTAAAATCAAGGATTCTGTTACTAGATAGCTGCCTGGGATCTCTGCCATGCTAGTTTTCTTGGAGAAGATCCCAGACCCATCCTCTGGGACAGAGAGCAAAGGAGACAGAGAAGCAGGTGGAAGCCAGGGCTGGGGTAAGGCAGGGTGTGACTGTAGCTGAGGGGAGTGTCAAGCTAGACCTGGGCAATCAGGGTCACATGGGGATCCTGGGCCAGCCTTTGGGGACAGGAGACTGAGACGGCCTCAACTCCAAAAGACAGGAAGTTAGGGACTTTGGTAGAGTCCGGAGGCAGGTCTGTGTTTTATCACTTCAGTCCCTATAGTTTAGTAGTTCCCTGATATCAGAGCCCACAGAAAGAGAGAAAGAAACTTGAAAGAAAAGGACCAGGACAGCCCCTGGGATTTTGATGGCAGGGACTCAAGGGACAGTGTTTTCAGCACCATGGTTTCAGTCCTGTGTTGCTCCAGACAAGAGTCACATTCCCAGGAGAAAGTCTGATTGGCCAAGCCTGGTTTATGTGCCCACCCCTTCCCCCTAACTCAGCCAGGATAGGGCAGGGCTCTTTCATTGACAGTCCTACCAAGACCACATGCAACAGAGAAGAGACACCTTTAGGGAGACATTAATAACACAAAGGGCTCAAACCCTCTTATAATCAATGTGTGTTGGCTGCCACAGGTTGTTCCTTTCATTTTCATATTACGTTATATGGGTTCAAAATAGACCCTTTCCATCTGCTCAGGTTATGTAATCACAAAAAACAAACAAACAAACAAACTTCTGAAAATCCCTGTTTTATCTCAGTCTCCCAGGAATCCATTCATTCAACTCTCAGCAAATATATTCAAGTGCCAGCTAGGAGCCAAGCACTGTAGTAGCTCTGGGGACAGAACCATGACCAAGAGAGACCCTGTCTCTGGATTAGGGGGAAGTTATATTTTAATGTATGGGAGAGAGACTACAAAACACATAAATGCACAACTAAGATCATTTCAGAGTGATATTTATATCATGAAGAAAATAAGGCAGGTTAACCTACCAGAGTGTGAACAGTGAATCTGGGGGTGGGTACAGTTTCTTCAGCTAGGGTGCAAGTGTGCTCTGGATGCATTCCTGATACAAGTGTGTCGTGAATTCTCCATGTGCGTGGTGATATTTTTGTGTATGTTTCATTCACTGATCTATTCCTGGGGCCTAGAACAGTGCCCAGCTCATCACAGGTCATCAATAAACATATCTCTGTTGAATGAATGAAAAAATGCTCAGTGAAGGCCTCTCTGAGCAATTGAGCTGAGACCTGAATGATGAGAAAAAGCCAATCATTTCAAGAGCTGGAAGAAATGTTCAAGGTGGAGGTGGAAACCATTTTGGGTTTATTGAAGAGAGAGACAGGAGGCCAATGTGGCCGGGTGTGATGAGGATCTCCTTACAAGCAGAGGATCAATTCTTGTGCTTAGAAAGTCACTCTGGCTGTGATGGGGAGAACTGTAGGGCAAGTGTGGACATAGGGAGACCAGGGAAGAGCTGTTGGGTGGTCCAGGTGAAAGAAGATGGAAATGAATATTAAGGCAGGAAGTAGGAAGGGTCAGGGTGGCAGTGAGGGTGGGAGTGGGGAAAGGGCACCAGTGAATGGCCCACTTCCGTCTCTCCAGGGAAGACCCCCCCACCCCCTGCTACCCCCTGATTCCACTCATTCTCTGTTTGACAGGTTCGCCCTAAGCTTTGACCATGGGCAGAACTCAGCTGGCATCCAGTACAGTCGCATCAAGGTCTCTGCAGCCTCCTGAGGAGTCCATCTGCCTGGAAATTGTGGAACCGTGGTTTTAGCCAACCATCTCCAGCTTCCTGCTTCACAGGCCCCAGAGCACAAGTTCCAGTTGGTCCTTTGGAAATTGCCCCTGCCCCAAAGGAGGTCTTTTTTGCTGGGGTGAGAAGGGTGAAAGTCTGAAAACCCCAAACTCTTCATTTTGAGTCGCAGGCTCTGAGGGTTCCTGAGGATCTATCTTCATGCCTCAGTTTCCCCATTGACTTTGCACATTTCTGCAATATTTATAATGAGAACATCTTATGGAATCTTCATTGCACCATAGGCTTTCTTAAACAATCTCTAGGGTACCAAGTCCTGGCAGGAAGTCTCACCTGGTCTCTCCTAAATCCAGCTGAGGATACCATACTCTCTGCTCTGTTTTTCCATCTGGCTGAGACATTTTGGTGAGGGGAAGCCTGCTTTTTGGCTCTTATATCCCAGTTTTGTTCAACCCAACTTATTCTCTTACCCAGAATATTTTTCTTTCACCAGCAACTCTGTTTGGTTGACAGGAGGCCTGAGTTCTAGTCCTGGTTCTGTGAGTGTCATTGTTGAATAACCATGGACCTCAGTTTCCCCTATATGTACAACAGGGGCCTGGGCCAGGTCATTCTTAAGATCTCTTCTGACTCCAGTGGCCTCAAATTCTGAATGCTGGTAACACAACAATAATCAACATGGGCCCTGCCCTCAGGTTGCTAGTCATCTTTTGGGGGGATGTATGTTTTAATTAGTAGGAAAGCTAAGAAGGATTCCAGAGCTGTGTGCACTAAAATTTAAGAACCATCACAGTGCATGTAACAAGCACCAGGAACTGTTTCCAAGATGGTGCAGGACAGTTTTGCAGAAAGGAGATGTGTTTGGAGGCCCACAGCCTGGTTGTTGATCTTGACACCCACTCTTGGCAGCTAATGACCTTGGGTAAATAACAGCTCCCTGAAGCCTCAGTTTCCTCACCTGCAGAATGGGGATAATATGCCTCCAGGGGTGTATTTAATGCCTGTCTCCCTCCAGGCAGGTCTTCAGCTGGTCCCATTCAGCTAGGCAGGGCCTGGGGGATTTCTGCTTACCCCCAGTCTCCCAGGGTCCCACCTTTGGGACATTGTAAATGGTCATTCCTCAAAGGGTGAGTCAGATGGAGCCTGAGCACATCACAGAGCCCCTGAGACTCTGGTGCCTTGAGTTGTCCTCTCCTCTCAGTGTCTAGGTACTGTCTTATATCCAGCGGTGTGCTGGAACTGCCTTGTACTGGCTGGCGAAAACCGATCGCTAAATTTTTAGGATTTTTGTGAGTCGGTTGTGAAATACAGCCATTATAAAAAATTAAATTATTTAAACTTACAATTAAATAAATTATATTAAAACAAAGGTAATTAATACTGAGAACTCATCACCTCCTAATTATCTTACTACATTTTTACTATTATCTGTGCTCTTGAGGTTATTTTCATGTAGTGTATTCTATGCAGGATGGAGGGGAGATACCATGCTCTCATCCCAATTCTGCATTCAGTGATGTCACATTGGTCACTTAAACCGGCCTGCTCTTGAGGTTATTTTCATGTAGTGTATTCTATGCAGGATGGAGGGGAGATACCATGCTCGCATCCCAATTCTGCATTCAGTGATGTCACATTGGTCACTTAAACCGGCCGTGAGACTGTATTCACATCACAGAGATTAGGGAGATCAGGGCTCAACTTATTGTTTTGTTGATTTCCTAGACTTAGGAATGTGCTGGATAAAATGTTAATAATGCAAATTAAACTTTAAAATGTGTCATGTCTGTAGCCCATACATTGTGAATAGCACAGAAAAATGAAGGACTATTCTTCCACTATTTGAACACTGTTACCCAATTCAGCACACAAGCTGCTCATGTCGTTGGTGAAGGAGTTCTGACACACATCTTCATTGTTCTACTTTTGTCTTACTCATTCACGTAAGCAAAAATTCAACAAGCATTCATGCCAGATCTACACCCATTCTTCAATGATATGAGCGACTTCTTTGCTGAGCCATATAGTTTCCAGGCATTTTTATTTGCAGTCTAATTTTGTGAAATCATAGCTAAATCGCAGTGGTATGTTGGCTTTGGATATAAGAGTTTGGCAAAAAGTCAAGAAAAGCATTCTCTAAGAATTAATTAGCTATATGGAATTTACAATAAAGAGTATTTACAGTAAGGAATTCATTATTACTTGTAAATTGTGTGCAACAAACACATCCTTTATCTCAGTAAAATTTACACACACACACACACACACACACACACACACACACACACACACTTATATTTTTCCCCTGGATAGCAGTTGTTAAATATTTACTAGCACACCATTGCTTATATCTGTCCTCATGACCCCTTCAGATCAGTTCCCTCTCCTTGGACCCCTAAACCTCTCTTGATTCTCCTTTCCTTTCCTGTTAGTCTGGAAGAATGCTCTTCTGGTCTTAGGGCAGATGCTCCCCTTTCTTGGTCAGCTGTAAACTGAGAGATTATGTAAATGAGCAAAGCTCCTTATGGTAAGACACTAGGGGTCTGTGGTAACTGACGAACACAGGCCCTCTCTTAAAGGGGGCGATGGTGCTCAATCCCAGCTGCTGGCTGCCAGTAGGAATGTGGACCCAATGTGGCCTGACCGTCTGAATTTTCACTAACAGCCAGAAATTCACACTTTGGTGCAAGTTTTCTTGATTTTTAAGTATTGGCAATTGATTCTAAACTTAAAAATAGCTTATAAGCTGAACCAACCCCCCTGGGCTGGATCATGGCCTTTAGTCTGTGCCTCCATTCTTGATGTTTCTTCCTGTGAGACACTCCTCTCATCTGGGATTTTGAGGCTCCCAGCTTAATCTTCTTAAAGAACCTTGTCTTTTGAAAAGCAATGCCAAGTAAACTAAATGGCCAAGCCCTTGAATTGGGTGGGTGGGAGGGGGTATTATTGATCATAAAGGAAAAGATACCTGGAGGGAATAAAAATAGTCCATATCTCAACCATATTATACTGGCACAGTTAGGTGAGTGACTCGGGTCCATGCTCATCTGTATAATGGGGATGATACTAACTCTTCAGAGATGACACGTGACAGTCACTTAGTACAGGCGGGCTCATAGTGGGTGCTCCAGAATGGCTGAGTAGCTGTCCCAGCAGCCTCCAGGGACACCTGGCCATGGGTGAGGAGGACAGTGAAGGCAAGGACCAGGTGGCGGTTGGGAAGGGGGGCATCAAAGAAAGCTAAAAATTGGGGGCACCTACTAGGTGCTCAGAAATCTTTAGCACCAACCAGAAGAGAAGTGGTCTGTTCGCTGATCTGCAGGTTATGTGGTGGGAAAGCTTCCTCCTCCCAAATAAGCCCAGAGTCACTTCAGGGAAGCAGTCCCCAAACCCCAGCCTCATGCACAGCCCCTTCGTCGTGTGTGCCCATCACTTACACCTTCAAGTATTGGCCCAGTTGCACTACATAGACTACTATGAATGCTTCTCTTTGGGCTGATTTGATTTTCCACTTAAATAAGTGTATTTTTTTAAAGGAAACTTATTAGTTTATTTTTCCCTGGAATACATATTTGTTGAGTGTCTATTATGTGCCAAGCACTGTCCTAGACCTTGGGGGGCACAGCAGTGAACAAGACAAGGTCCCTATTCTCACAGAGTTGACCTTCTAGTGGGGGAGATACACTAGAAACAGAAAAGAAAGAGGTGGGAGGGGAGAGGGAAAGAAAGGAAAGGAGGGAGGGAGGGAGAGAAGGAAAGAAAGAGAAAGAAAGGGAAAGAGGAAGGAAGGAAGGAGAGTGGGAGGGAGAAAGGGAAGGAAGGATGAAGGAAGGAATGAAGAAAGAGGGAAGGAGGAAGGAACAGGAGGAAAGAAAAGGAGGGAGGGAGGGAGGGAGATAGATTAAATAGATGACAGAGAGAGAGGGGTGCATGCCAGTTGGTGCTGAGTGCTAAGAAAGGATAAAGGGCTAAAGAGAGATGGGGTGGGGGTCAGAGCAGATGTTTGCATGCTATTTTAGCAAGAGTAACTAGGGTAATCAGAGAGAACCTCTTTGAGGTGATGGCATCTGAGCAGAGACCTACACGAATGCCTAGAGTGAGCCATGGAAAGATCTGGGGGAAGAGCATCCCAGGCAATGTCACCGCATGTGTGAATTCACCCGAGATAAGACTGGGCTTGGCATATGGAAGGAACCGCAAGGAGGCGTGAGCAAAGGGTGAGTGGTGGGAGAAAAGGAGGGCAAGGTCAGCAGGGGCCTGATTGCAAAGGGTCTTCCAGGCCATGGGAGGATTGTGATTTGATTCTAAATGTGCTGGGAAGCCTCTGGAGGATTGTGAGCAGTGGACTGACATGATCTGACTTGATGCTGTAAAATAATCATCGATGTTGGTGAATACAGAAAGTAAATATCAATAACAGAGATAGGAAGAAACTTAAAATACTACGAAAAAACACAGGTTCACTAAATTCTCACTAACTACTGTTGTCTACTGAGGGTTTTGAGTCCGCTGCCTGCTCTGTGTTGAAAGGGGAGCTTAGCGAGTGTGAGACAGACGTTGGAGACATAGTAGCACCAACCTAAGACTTTCTCTTTGTCTGGATTGAAAGAACAATCACGTGATTTGATTCTAAATGTGCTGGGAAGCCTCTGGAGGATTGTGAGCAGTGGACTGACATGACCTGACTTGATGCTGTAAAATAATCATCGATATTGGTGAATACAGAAAGTAAATATCAATAACAGAGATAGGAAGAAACTTAAAATACTACAAAAAAACACAAGTTCACTAAATTCTCACTAACTACTGTTGTCTACTGAGGGTTTTGAGCCCGCTGCCTGCTCTGTGTTGAAAAGGGGAGCTTAGCGAGTGTGAGACAGACGTTGGAGACATAGTAGCACCAACCTAAGACTTTCTCTTTGTATGGATTGAAAGAACAATCAGGTGATTCGACGTATTTATGTAATATTTGTGAACCACCTACAATCATTTCCAATACCACTGGAAATGGGCTTCCCACGTGTAGGGAGAGAATACCAAGAAAGTCATAAGCACCAGGAAAGACAGAGGTGGTTCTCTCTCATGTCACACCCTCCTAGAGACGAGCTTTGCTGGTGTCAGCATGGAACCTGTTTAGACCAGAGCCAGGTTCCTCCAGCAAATGTCTTCTGAGGAAGGAGAGAAGATACCAGGAGGGGGACAGGAGAGGAGGGACAAGATATGAAAGCAAGCAGTTCCCACACCTGCAGTCGTCAAACCTGGAGGGGGAATTTCCTTCCCTGCCTTGCTGATGACCGGCCCTCTCCCCTTCAGCTCCTGCCGGCCTCCCCAGTGGCCTTCCATCCTCATGGGTGACCCTTCACCAGCCTGGCCTCTCCGGTTCCTGGACTGTGCAATCCCAGTAGCCTGTGCTCACTTNTCTGACTTGATGCTGTAAAATAATCATCGATGTTGGTGAATACAGAAAGTAAATATCAATAACAGAGATAGGAAGAAACTTAAAATACTACGAAAAAACACAGGTTCACTAAATTCTCACTAACTACTGTTGTCTACTGAGGGTTTTGAGTCCGCTGCCTGCTCTGTGTTGAAAGGGGAGCTTAGCGAGTGTGAGACAGACGTTGGAGACATAGTAGCACCAACCTAAGACTTTCTCTTTGTCTGGATTGAAAGAACAATCACGTGATTCGACGTATTTATGTAATATTTGTGAACCACCTACAATCATTTCCAATACCACTGGAAATGGGCTTCCCACGTGTAGGGAGAGAATACCAAGAAAGTCATAAGCACCAGGAAAGACAGAGGTGGTTCTCTCTCATGTCACACCCTCCTAGAGACGAGCTTTGCTGGTGTCAGCATGGAACCTGTTTAGACCAGAGCCAGGTTCCTCCAGCAAATGTCTTCTGAGGAAGGAGAGAAGATACCAGGAGGGGGACAGGAGAGGAGGGACAAGATATGAAAGCAAGCAGTTCCCACACCTGCAGTCGTCAAACCTGGAGGGGGAATTTCCTTCCCTGCCTTGCTGATGACCGGCCCTCTCCCCTTCAGCTCCTGCCGGCCTCCCCAGTGGCCTTCCATCCTCATGGGTGACCCTTCACCAGCCTGGCCTCTCCGGTTCCTGGACTGTGCAATCCCAGTAGCCTGTGCTCACTTCACCTCCTCCCTGAACATGTTCAACCTCAAACGCTACTCACTTTCAAAGTTTTATTCCAAACACCCCACTTCCTGGTCACCACTTCTAATGCTAATTCTGCTAAGGCTCCTCCCCAATGGCAACAATTCTCTGACCTCATTGAGACCTTTGAGCTCTAAATGTGAACCCCTGACCCCATCCCTTTCCCAGTATCCATGAACCTCTTCCTGCCTTCACTTTCCTCTTGTCCAACCTGCATCCCATATCCCAACTTTATAATCCATCCCTTGCAAACACCCTCTCATGCACTTGGCAATGCTAAGCTGCATTAATTTATACACCCATCTT